CACTTTTTGTCCTCCATTTCTTTTGTTTGTGATCTATTTCGTCTCTGCATTTTCGTAGCTTCCCTGATTGGGCAGGGTTTCAGGGTGGAGCCTACAGCTTTGGCTTCCATCAGCCCCGCCCTATGCGGCTCCTGAGTCTCAGGGTCTTTCAGTACTCATTGCAAGAGCCTCTGAGAGAAAGGTGCCCTCAATTTTCGCCTGCAACCAAACAGTCTAGGCTCTCCTCCAATGAGCCCAGTATTGGGGTTCAGTTCAGTTGGAAGTGGAGTTGGAGGTGGCATTCAGAGCAGTCTGGAGCCCCTGTCTCCTTCCCGCCAGGGCAATCTCGCAGCACAGCCGACCGTCCCTTCTCTGTGCGCAATGTACATGCCTCCAGGACCTTCTTTTGCCGCTCCCCTGGGGTTCTGCCTTACAGCCCAGCTCCCTCTGTGTGAGCCTGGGTCCCTGGGGTCTGGCCTAGAACTGGGGTTCAGAGCAGTCGGAACTGGGGCCCAGCACAGTCAAAGCTTTTATCTCCTTCCTGCTAGGGAATGCCAGCCAGGCATTCAGCCGCCCGCCCTTCCTCTCCGTCTCCGTCCTCTCCACGAGCGTGCCGCATGTCTCCATACCTTAGGCTTTTACAACTCCTCCTCTCTTCCTTCTGGTTTTCTCCTTGCTTCTCATTGTAGAATTTCCAGTCAGTCAACTTTCCTGTAGGTCTGGGTAATGTCCATTTTGTATTTTAGTTGTATTTTATTGAAATTGTTGTGTGCGGCTGCGGCTAGGTGTTTACCTGTGCAGCCATCTTGGATTATCTTCTTTTCTCAATATTTTAAAATTCTATTATTTTAATACCATTCTTCCTTTTTTTTCTTTTTGGTAATATATATATATATATATATATATATATATATATATATATAATCTTCCCCTTAATAAAAACATCCTTAGCACATTCTAAAACTTCTTTTTGTTTTCCCATCAGGCTATTATCTGGACCTTTAATTTTGAGGAAAAAAAATATTTTTTCTGTATATCTTTATTCTTCAATGTTTTTAAAGACAATAATTGATTTTAATAAAATATTTTACCTTTCCTTCATACATCTTATGTAACATTGCTTAAAATTTTTTTACCTTTTCTTCAAATACACATTGTCTTCAAAATGAGTCTTTGTGTGATAACATTTCTGAGGTGCTTCTATGCCTGAGAATATTTGTATCTTATTATCACTCCTGAATGACATTTAAGCTGAAAATAAAACTTCAGTCTCTAAGTTCTTTTCAATATTTTGAAAAGCTAACTCTATTATTTCTCTTTATGCTGCTGTTATAAAATCTGATAATATGATGTTAATTTTTCATACCGTGAGCTATTTATTTATTGTTGTCAGTATTATGGATGTCCCCCATTTTCCTGTTTGCCCCTCTCCACCTGTTCACCCCTCTATCCAGTCCTTTATCACACTAATGTCTGTGTCCATGGCCTATGCATATGCACATGGGTATATGTTCTTTGGTTAATGTCTTCGCATGTCCCTCTGAGATCTGTCTGTTCCAGGGATCCATGCCTCTGGACCTACTTTGTTCCTCAGTTTATTTTGTTCATTAGATTTCACATAGGAGTGAGATCATGTTATATTTGTCTTTTTCTGTCTGGCTTATTTTGCTTAGCATAATATTCTCCGGGTCCATCCAGGCTGTCACAAAGGGTAAGAGATCCTTCTTTTTTATAGTATAATATTCCATTGTGTAAATGTACCACAGTTTGTTTGTTTTAATCCACTCATCTACTGATGGGCACTTGAGCTGTTTCCAGATCTTAGTTATTATAAATAACACTACTGTGAACATAAGGGTGTATATATTCTTTCTGGTTGATGTTTTGGGGTTCTCAGGATATATTCCTAGAAATGAGAATCACTGGGTCAAATGGCTGTTCCATGTTTAATTTTTTGCAGAAACTCCATACTGTTTTCCAAGTATGGAGTCTGGATTCCCACCAGCAGTGCCCGAGGGTTCTGTCTGTCCTCTTCCTCCTCCCTCCCTTATACTCTCTCTAAAAATCAATAGCAAAAAAAAAAATTGTCTCTTTGTCTGGGATATCCCAAGTTTTCCTACAGTTTGTATAGATATGGGTTTTCCATATAATTCTATTTTTGATGCTCCATGGGCCCTTCTTTCTGAGGTCTTTTATTTGTTCATTCATCTATCCATTCATTTTATGGGAAATTTAACACTATCATTTCTCTAAGTTATGCTGCTATTATATTTTTCCTTCTCTTTCCTTTGGGGATTCCAATTATCTGTATGCTTCTACTTTTGTTTCCCATATTACTTGATGTTCCACTTTTCTGTTTCTCTGAACTTCCTTCTTCCTTCTGGAGACTACCTCAATCTGGTGCTCATGTGTTTCTTATCTGTGTGTGTGTCCCTTCTACTGTTCTTATCTCTCTTGTTCTTTATATCAATTATTATATGTTTCATTTGTAATATTTCCACTTGGTTACTTCATTTGTAATATTTCCACTTGGTTACTTTTTGTTTCTTTGTTTTAATATGGTTAACATTATTTCCTATCTTTTAAAATATATTAGGTCAATTTAAATATTTAAGCCCATTCTAATGTTTATGCTTTTGATGGAATCTATAATCTATTATTTTATTTTTTGTCTTTTGAAATCATTGTCCTTCTCCAAGTATCTTATTTGACATGTGCACATCATTCTCTGGAAATGGGCATGAGGATAGGCCTAGGGTGACCCACTAGGACTGAAGAATTTTCTGAGATGCTGGACTAAAACCAGAACAGTCCCAGGCAAACAGGAGCATCAAAAGGAGCAATCCTTAGGTTGTAAGTTAGAGTAACAGGTGTTGGGAGGAACTGCCCTGAGTTGGTTAGAACCTAAGGAGTTTCTTGTCTCCCCGAAAGCGCAGGGCTTCTGTTCAGCCTGATTTCCTCATGAGCCCACGTGGACCAGAGCTCAGTCACCACATGTGTGGCAGTGGTGAGAAACACAAGCAGATTTCCAAAAGTTCTTTTCCCACAGCATGGCTGGCCGCTTATTGCCCCAAGCCTAAATCCACACTAACTACCCTAATTCTGATAGTCCCTTTACAGCTTAAAAAAAACAAAAAAAAAAACTTCAATACTAAGGTTTTCTCCATTTGAGGGTATCTTACCCTCTATAACAACACTCCAGGGATCTTGGAAGAAGGAACAATAAAAATGCCAATTCATCATCTTACTATCACATATTTACATACTTATTTTTAAATTTTTAATTAAAATACAAAAGCATTTTGTATATAGGGAAAAGAGCCTTGAGGTAAAGCACTATAAATATTAGATACATTATTATGAATAATAATATATGTTCATATGCCTTCGGTAGCTTATTTATTTTTTTTTTTTAGCATTCGTATATTTATACAGAAAATAGCAGTAGAAAAGTCACTACAACAGTATTTGACCAGGAACCACATAATGTCTGACAAACTTCTGATTTTTATTACAAATGTTTATTATTGTTGCTATACTATTACATTTGACACATCTATTTTATTTCTGACTTTTATAATTAATCTATAATTTTTATTCCTTACAGCTGTTTTACTAAAAAGATTTTCTGTTAATACAAATAGGCTTTCATATTTAATAATAAAAATCATCTTTAATAAAGAAACTACCTACTTAACAGAAAAACTGTTAAAGCTAGAAGTGAAAAGCACATTGAGGGAGAACCCTTTTAAAAATACAATTGAAAGGAATTCATTTTCTATATCAATTAAATAAGATTCATGAAAATTATTTTTTAATTCCTGCAATTTTTGGGAAACAAAGTTGATTATATTTTCTCAATGAGGAGCAATGTTAAAGTGTAGGTTATACTCCTGTACTAGGTAGGATTCAGGCTTCAAATGAATCACTGGTCTTACTATCAATATGTCATAAAGGCAAAAAATAAATAAATAAAATAACTACTCTAAAAGTCTATGCCACTTCCAGTTCTATTTAATAGGCATAGATATATGGCACATATTAACTACAAAAGGCATTTCATGTACTATTAAATGCACACATAGTAAAAAAAAAAAAAGTGTAAAAAAATAGTGTAATAGGGGACCTAAAACTAAAGTACTTACTATATTTAACATTGAGTAATCTTGTCATCTTAAATTTAGGGTGTTGCTAGGGAACTAGACCGCATAAGACTCTTTAAAAGGTCATCCAGATATTTTAAAACTTTTTGGTACATATTCCTAAAACAAGCAGAGGCATCCAGCCTCCTCAGTAATAGTAGAGATATTTCTTCACAGAAAACATTTTCAAAAGAGTTGACGTGATATACGTCCCATCTTCCCTTCCCCATTTACTGAAAGCTAAAATTGTAAGGGCTGCATCAGACAAAAGGACATTCTGCCTAGCATTTATTGATCTTGCTGTTATTAGAATACCTTCTCACTCATGAGTAAACTATAAAGGGAGCTACTGTCACAGGCACAAACTTTAAAAAAAAAAAAAAAAAAAAAAAAGCTTAATAACACTTTGCCTTTGTGTTCTGAGTTGGCCAAAAGGAATGAGGATAAACGGATGTTGTTTGTTTACAGAGCAGAAAGCACTTTATAAAGCAATATATGCTATCCTTCAAGGTGTTTTATCTATAAAGAAATACGAGTCAGCTACATGAAATAAGTCACACAACTTGTTTTCCTTCTGCTTCTTCAAGTTGGTTTTCTCGACCTAGTTTCACGTATGAGTGTTTGGCAAATGGTGGTAGGTTATCTGAGGGTTGAGGAACAACCTGTTTATTATCAAAAGCTAATTAAAGAAAAACCGAATTAAGAGAAGCTGGTCACACAAATACCTAGCCGTACAGCTGGGGGCGGGGAGGGTGGGGGGTGGCGCATCTAATTCTTCACACTAACACATAAGCAGCAATGAGATCCAGAAGTCTTCCTAACCAGGCTTATGCAGCATCTAAGAATATTTGCTCCAGTCCTTGTTGAGTCGGTGGTAGTTTAGGAAGACTGTAGATTAATCTTTGATTTGGCACCTAGGGAAGGGATTTTTTTTGGGTCTTTGGAGCACTCTTTGTGTTGCAGTCGTTGCCTCCCTCGGATTAAACACTCTGTATACCACTGCTCCTGCTGCAGCTGCTGCTTCAGATTTTGTAAGCAGTTTAGGGTGGCCTGCACCTCCTGGTACTTTTGGGACTGCTGCATTAACTTCCTGTGTGCACACTGGTTCTCTTGGAGGAGGTCCTGGCAGCACTCACGAGCAACCTTCCCTGCCGCTGCCTCCAAGGCCTGGGTCCTCTTTTTCATCTTCCTTCTTTCTCTCCTTCCCAATTGGCTTACGACTGGCTCACTCAGTTGCTTCTCCATTGATGCTTTTTCCTGGAGGTACTGGGCGTAGGCCTTTGCCATTGTCTCAGCGCGGGCTTTCTTGAGCTCCTCCCGTAAGGCCTCCAGTTCTCTGTCCTGTTTCTCCTTCACTAGCGAAATGTCCCTCATTGCCCTTAACTGCTGCTTCAAATCAAATTCCTTCTTTTCCTTCTCCAATAGCTGTTTTTGAAGCTCTGACGTTTGTTTCGCATATTTGGAGGCCAATTCTTGTCTCTTTCGTTGGATTTCCCCACTTTCTTGTGCATAGTCGTCCCACAGCTTGGTGATTTCCCTTCTATACTCTTCCGTTTTGTTGGTCAGGTGGTCCAGCATGAATTTAGTGTCAGCCTGAACCTGGCACTTCTCATCCAGGAGCAGCCTGGTTTCCTCCAATATCACTTTTTGCTGGATTCGGGCTTCTTTTATTTTCTTGTCAAGCTTTAGCACTTCCCATACCTTTTCCATAAGCCGCATGGCTGCTCTTGTTGGCTTCTCTGGCTTCAAGAAGTCAATTAGTAAACCAAGATATGAGGAAGGGGGAATATTGAAGTCCTCGGCAAGTTTACTCCTGGTGCCCACGTCTTCATCCCATGGGTCACTGAGAGCGACAGACACCAAGGAGGTGGTGGTGGAGGCATGCCACCGATGAAGTGTGCGGCTCAGGGGAGAAAATGTTTGCAATTTCTGGGGTCCAGGCTCAGCAGCCGACCACCCGGTCCAGCCCTGGGTGGACTTGAGCTGCACCCCGCTGCCAACAAGGCCCTTGAGTTGCATCGCCCTCGTGGACTTGGCTCCAGTCCTCCGCAGCACCTTGGTTTTGGGCGGTGCTCTGGCCCTGGGCTTCGGAGCAGCCCTGGCCTCCTGGTCGCTAGCCGTTCTGGTCACCACTCCCTGGGTGCTGGGAGTGATCTGTGAGTCCTTCTTCCGCAGATGGAAGTCATGCCCTAGGGATCTCCTGTACCTAGGACGTACAGTGGGTTGGGGTCCCTCCACCTTCAGGGTTGTCCCTCTCACGGAAAGGGTGGCCTCATCCGGGCTGCTGCATACCGGGTCCCAGTACCGCCAGATCACCGCCTCCATGGTCCTGGATTGGTTCCCCCCGGGCAAGGTGGGCACAGGAAGGTGCTAAGGCACCCCTTTGTTCTCCCCTCTCCAGCCTGTGAAAGCAGGTGGGTGCCTGTTCCCTCTTTCAAGGCTTGGAATTTGGAACTGGAATGTTGGCTACTGCCTAGGCACGTTTCCATGGTGACCAGGTGACAGGGGCCAAGCCAGTTAAGGGTGTGGAATGGGGGGCCTGGCCCCAGTGTGTCTTCAGCAGTTAGGGATTTTTTCTTGGGTTGTGGGGGGAGAATCTGAAGTTCCTATATTGTGAGCTGGTAGGACTCTGTGGCTTCTCAATATTTTCTATTTCTATTGATGAGAGAGAGAGAGAGAAATGGAGGATGGATGGATGGATGGATGGATGGATAGATAGATAGATAGATAGATAGAAACATCCATGAGAGAAACTGCCTCCTGCATGCTTCCTACTGGGTGTGGAGCTGAGCGGGAACCCAGGCATGTGCCCTAACCTGGAATAGAACCTGAGACCTCAGGCTGACACTCTCTCCACTGAACTAAACTGACTAGGGCTGTTTTCTGTTTCTTGATAGCTTTTTCTGTCCTTGATGTGAGGGAGTGTCAATGGTTTATCTTGCCTGAAGTCCTCTGCTTGTTTTATAATGAGGCTGTCAATTATCACTGAATTCCAGGGAGTCTCATCCCGGTTGCCACAGCTTTTCTTGTCACACAACCACCACACAGGGATTTCGTGTATGAGCAAGACCTGGCACATTTCTGGGTTCTCGTCTTGTCTTGGCCTTTATAGACAATGGCGTCTTGGCTTCACAGCACCTACCCCGGATGTTGCAGTCTTTGTCCTGGTGGCCCTCACCTACTCTGCCTGGTCCACTCTCTTCTCTCCTTGCTAAGCCACAAACTGGGTGGCCCAGTTCAAGATAAGCCCAAGACCAAGGGATGAAGGGAGGCACCTTACCAGGACTGAGAACCTCAGCCCCAAGAAGATCAAAATGCCTCCAGGAGGGACCGGTGGCCTAGCGCACCGTGCCTCAGTGGGCCTGGGGTCTTCACTGGACACTCTCCTCAGAGGCAGGAGATGTCCAAGGGTTCAGAGCTGGAGTTCCCTCTGCTAACTCCAGCAGAGTCTTCACATGGTGAGCACCTGCTCACTCATCAAAAATATTTTTCTATAGCAAGGTTTAAAAAAGTATTCTACGGAAAACATTTTAAATTACGTTATTTACCCAAAAGACTATCTTTATATATTACTGGTCTATTGGAATTTTTCTTTTTAATAAAATTCCATTCATTTTTACATGATGTATGTCAATAACAGCTACCTTACAAAAGTAATAAGCAAAACCTGTTTTCCTGTCTTCATTTTTGCTACTATCTTTCCATATCTATTTGTGAAAGTTTGAATTCCTCCTCCTTGCCCCAAGTCCATAATTATAATTGTCTCATGATACCCACATTATAAGTTATTCATTATTTTGAATAATGCCTTAATTTAAAATGTACCCTTGTACCCTTTCTACTTTTTCCTATATTATTATACCTTTCATAATCTTGCTTTAAGATCTCTGGCTTCTGATTTTTTCCCCAATAGCTGTCCCTAGAATAGCATTCCTACAGAGAATGAAAGAATTAAGTGGTTCTGTGTTTCCCTTATTTCACTCTTAAGTTATGCTTTCTTCTTTTGGTTCCCTTCCTCTGATTGCTCCCTTCTGCCTCATCTAGTCTATTCTTTGGCCACTTTCTTCAAAACATAGCTCCAGCCCAGTTGGTGTGGCCCAGTAATTGAGGGTCAACCTATGAGGAGGTCATGGTTGGAGCATGCAGGAGGCTGCCGATCAATGATTTTCTCTTATCAATGATGATGGGTTTTTTCCTTCTCTCTCTCTCACCCTTCCTCTCTAAAATCAATAAAAATATATATATTTTTAAAAATGATAGCATATTAATTTGCTCCAGACAGCCTTACTTGACCAAACTCACTCCTGTTTACTCTCTGTATCATTTGACCTATAAACAGTACATAATATTACCATGTACTTGGTGTTTGTTTTTATAACTTTTAATCAGTTGGTTACATATTTTCTAATATTTTATTTATATTACAGTTTATTATACATCCTTGTAATGCAAATGTGTAATCAGTTGCTTACTGTCTGTCTCTTCAGTTTTAAATGTCTGTCTCCTCTTAGAATGCAAGCACTTTAGGCTAATTGCATTTGGTTATATCCTCAGAACCTAGAATGATATACATAGTAAGTATGGAATAAATATTACAATGTCTTTGAAATACCACTCAGGATATTAGTAGAATGAAATTGCTGATTTTTTAAAACATCATTTTGTCTGGAATTTCTCACATTTTCTATAACAGTTGGGAGGTATTTAACTGCAAGATGCAAAAAACCTAATGGACTTACCAATCATGTCAAACTCACAGCCCATCAGCCGTGAGTTTGACATACTTGATTTAAACCAAAAGTCTAAAACAGACTAGCTATTTACTTAGCCATAGTTTAAAAGTGGGCATTTCTAGTATTGGTTTGACAGCTCAGTGTTGTCACTCAGGACCTATGTTCTTCACACCATTCTGCTGAGTCATCCAAAGCTCATTGGTTTTTATTCTCAGCCATAAAGCATCACAGCCCAAAGATGGTGACCACATTCTCATACTTCAAAGCACAAAGAAGAAAGTAAGGGAAATGATATAAAAAATGGGGATATCTACTCACTCTTGTCAGAATCCTAGATATCCCCAGGCCCAGCAGCCTCCTCTGGCTCCAAAGGAAAGAACTGAGTCAAATCCCTACTTTGGGGCTTATTGTGGACAGAGAAGAAAGCACTGCTATTAATTATCAATCCTGATTCATCCCATTTGGGGGTAGAGGGACAAAAAGAACAGGAAACTGCTGGGTATGCAAGCAACATTTTGCCCACTCTTCTGCTGTTACATGAATCACACTAAACCCTATTTTCTTCAGAACCTTCAAACTGTTAAGATTCTTCAGTCCTTCCCTTTTTTCTCTTGATATTTTAATCATGAAGCCCTTTCCTACAGACAAAATATATTTTTTTTGCTTCAAATTGTCTATTAAAACATTTACTCTGTCAACCAAAAGGTTTATTTCACTGACTTTTTACAAACTCAGTTTCTGCATTCTAATTATTTTTCTTTGCAAAAATACTGACACATATCACATTTTCAAAAGGGAAACACATTTATTTTGTCGTTTCCTTTCCACTCTTCATATATACATCTGTTCCTGAACTGCATTAGGAACTTCTGAGGCCAAGAACACATATTTTGTTCTTTTTATAATTGCCAGCAGCATTTGGTAAGTGCTAAATGTACTTGACTTGTCCTTTCCCTTTATGGTTAATCAGAAATATGTAAGTTAGTAGGAATCAGAATCTTATAGCCAAGAAGCACTGGTCATATTACAAACACCATCTACTATCTTGTATATATTAAATTATTTGCATGCCTGTTTCTTGCTGTCATTAGAACATCCCAGAACACCATGTATTTCATTTCACCTTTTTAAAAAAATTAAATTATTATCTGTGTACATATCTTACCATTGCCCCCCCATACATACCCTCCCTCCCTAGAGTTTTGTGTCCATTGGTTGTACTTATATGCATGTATACAAGTCCTTTGGTTGATCTATTATCTCCCCCAGATCTCCCTCCCCTCCCCGCTGTAATTTGACAGTCTGCTTGTTGCTTTACTGTCTTTATATCTGTCTTTTGGTTCATCAGTTTATAATGTTCTTTAATATCCATAAATGAGTGAGGTCAGTTGGTGTTTCTCTTTCATTGACTGGCTTATTTCACTCAGCATGATATTCTCTAATTCTATGCAGGTTGCTGCAAATGATGAGAATTTCTTCTTTTTTATGGCAGCATCATTTCACCTTTTCTAACATCTTTCATTCACAAAGACAAAGAAAAGAGCTGGGTTTCCGTGGAAACAGAAGTGTGATAGTTGAGGGTATCTGGGCATAAGTGAAATAACTCTCAGATTCAGTGGGAAGAGGAGAAATAAAGTTTCTTTTTGTTTGTTTGTTTGTTTGTTTTTCTCCCAGCAATGCACTTCAGAAGCCAAAGAGACCCTGAAGTGTGTACAGTATTAAGTCTTCACTATCAGACAGATTTACAGCTCTTGGGGAAATTTTTATTTCATTTCATCTCATTTGTATTTTGTCTTTCTCATAAATATGTTGACACAAATTTTAAAAAACATTTTATTATTTTTTAAAAATATATTTTATTGATTTTTTACAGAGAGGAAGGGAGAGAAATAGAGAGCTAGAAATCTTGATGAGAGAGAAACATCGACCAGCTGCCTCTTGCACACCCCCCTCCGGGGATGTGCCTGCAACCAATGTACATGCCCTTGACCGGAATCGAACCTGGGACCTTTCAGTCCAGAGACCGACGCTCTACCACTGAGCTAAACCGGTTTTGGCTCTTGACACAAATTTTTATTTCTCAGGTTACTGTCAGAATGCTGGGAATGATTAAGGATAGGGAGACAAACACCCAACTCCCACCCAAATTTGCAAAATTCTCTACATGTCCTGATATCCTTTCTTATCACAGCTAAACCTTTAACCAGCATTTCACATACAGGCCACTATTCAAGGTAGGTGAGAAGATGTGTTTCTACTTATCTTTCTTTGCCTCTTAGTGATGAAAAACCCACTTTTATGGCAGCATTGTGAATGAAAATTGAGGCCTGTCAATATCAGACATAAGAGATACAAGTATCTTGAGACATACAGTCTCTACACTTCTCCTAATCAAGGAAATCAGCATTGATGAAAGGTCAGGGAAGGTAGCCTGAAAAAGGTCAAAAAGTTCTTTTATTCTCTATTACCTAAGTGGAGTGACAAAGGAAACTCACTGTGTGTGTGTGTGTGTGTGTGTGTGTGTGTGTGTGTGTGTGTGTGTGACGGGAGGAGAGGGTGTAAGAGAGAGAGAGAGAGAGAGAGAGAGAGAGA